TCTAACTTTAACTACGGTGATATTTTTCTTCTGCCATATATTAAATACATAAAACCAATATATTTGTTTTCTATTGATTTTCATTCACCTTGAGACTTTAATAATGGACAGAGAGGTTTATACTGTGTTATTCTCAACGGTCTTAAGAGTCGCACACTCACACACTTCTCTGCTAAACTATTTACCTTACTGTCAATAGTCATTAATAGTAACTATTCTCGTGATTGACTTGATACTTCATGGATGGCTGAAGTCCAACCCAGGTATGTCTCTGTATCAGGTAGGTTCCTCCTTCCCTCCCCCTTTCCTTCCTTCCTTTCCTCCTCCTTCCCCTCCCTCCTTCACGTATACCATAACCTACATATAACCATAGTACGTTCCTTCCCCCTTTCCCTCACCCCCTCCGCCACCCTTCCCTCTCCTCCTCCCTACAGAACGATAAAGTGATAGCCGACATATTAAGATTGTATCCACTTTTTTACACTTAGTAACTATACCATCTCCCATGTATAGAACCAAACACACTATGTGCTTGAATACTTCTCACGCTAATGTGAATAACAAAGTGTGCGGCCAGACATACTGCCTCACACTCCTGTACTCACACAGTTTCCAATAAGTTACCCTCTATGTATTGAACTAAACAAAGAATTTATTTGAAATACTGTGTAACATTTAATGATATAATATCCTGACCAAGGGGGTTAGTTATTCTGACCCGTTGTGAACTCGACTCTTGTAATCAATTTGCGTTGCCGCTTACGGGATGAGTATGGGGTGCTAGCCGCTGTAAGTGACAAAATTGAATTAATTAATCCTACCTCCATGTAACAACAGCACTAAGGCGACATAAGCTTCAGAGATCTATGTCGTCCTCACAAAACCTGTATCTTATTGGCTTACAAGTCCATTATACCTCTGGGTTACTCGGTACTTCAGTAACATTAATGACCAGGTGTTGAGTGACTCCCCTGCCACCGCTCACACTAACTAACCTGACTTGTTTCTGTTTAGGAACCAATTGGATTTATTTTTTCCAACTCAAGGCAGTGTTTGATGGGATAGGACTGGATGTCTCACACACACACATACACACACACACAAACACACACACACACACACGTAGACAGACACCACCTGATATCTTACTGACAGTCACACACTTACAGAACTACAGGTGTCTCTCTCTCTCTCTCTCAGGTATAAGTACTTGAGATAGAGGTTGAGTAAAAGAAGGAGAAAATTAAGATAAAAAAAAAAACTCTGGTTTATAAAATGAGAGAAAGTTTTGCATAAGTGTCTTTAACTTTGCTGAGAGTGAAGGGAAGGTGACTCAAGGGTTAAAATATTTGAGAAGAAATAAAAGTTGCGATAAAAACATTTTTAGTAAAAGATAAATATTGTGTTGCCTTTAATAATGTTTCTTTTAATAAACATCTATTTATATATTATTAAAAATCACATTAAACAAAATAATAATATATTTATTTGTTTAATTACTTACATTAAGCATCAGAATAAAAGAGACTATTTTTTCGTATTTTTTTACATCATCGTTATATTAAAAATTACAATAAAAGGATTATATTTTTGTGTATTTTTATTACATTTCTTTTACGTATATTTTAATGTTTAATATAACTTAAACAACATAAAGATAATTACTTCCTTTGTCTAGTTTAATAAGGCTATTATAACCATACAACACAAGGCTATTATAACACTAGGACAAACACTCACTCATGAGATACAGTGAAACCTCTATATAATGGACTTCCCTCGTCATATAATCCGTTAGCTTGGGTTTCATATATAACGGACCATCGATATAATGGACTTTCATTTCTATATAGTCCGCTAAATTGAGGTTTTACAGCACTTTGGAAATCCTCTGTGTGTGTGTGTGTGTGTGTGTGTGTGTGTGTGTGTGTGTGTGTGTGTGTGTGTGTGTGTGTGTGTGTGTGTGTGTGTGTGTGTGTGTGTGTGTGTGTGTGTGTGTGTACCCACCATAATCTGTACCCTCTCACAGTTATTAATTTACTGTATATAAAGTTTTACCTGCCCTCTCAAAGACCTAATCCTATAAAGACTGAAACGCCGCAGGGACTCCTAGAACGAGATTAATCAGTGTAGATTTTGCTCACCCAACTTTCAAACGAAGCCGCTTTCTTTCTTTCTTTCTTTCTTTCTTTCTTTCTTTCTATCTGTCTTTCTCTCTATATATATTTTTCCACAATTCATCAATTTCAATTCGTTTTCTGATTCATAGTCTGGACACAAAGTTATCCCCTTCCTGCCTCACATTCATCAACCATTCCACAAATCCGTCAAGAAAGTCAAATATCCTTGGTACTTACTTCTATTCTAAAAGACTTAAACAGAAAAGTAGATAAAGACGATGAATTATGATACGAAGTGAAATTTTCCCATGATGACGGATATAGAGTTCCATCTTGTGTCATTTAGAAGGAGGGAGAAAAAAAATTGGAAAAAGTCATTAAGGTTGACGTGGCCTATTTCTTTGATCTATGGAAGGTTAATCTATACAGGTGATGGCTTGTGGAGGGGAAAGTGGAGTTTTCTGTAGCTAGGTTGACTGAGGAAGTGATGGCTCTGTCACACACACACACAGAACCCCTTCCCCAGACACCCCAAGAGAAGTTGTTAGTATGATGACGATTTTAGTAAACTCAAGAAATGGTTCATATATTTTTGCCATAAGTTTCTCTCCACCACTCCTGCCCTCCCACGTGTTAACATAGACTAACAGTGTTGTATATATGAGGTAACAGCGACTATACCGAGTGTCAATAACTATATCAACAGAACAGGGAGAATTATATGATGTCCCTTGAGAATGATTACTGTTACCGTTTCTTTTTACAGATATTCTTCTTAACTATTCCTCGATATTATTAAATTTATGCTGTTCAAGAGTAACGCATACCAACACACGATAGACTTAACCCGGATATAACAACAGTATTTCAATATTTCCATCTTGAGTATATTATTATTAAAAGTGTTTGCCCCCCACCACCCCACCCCCCCACCCCCCACCACCCCCACCTTCACTCCTCCATCTCTCCCACCCCCTACCTCCCCCACCTCTCCCATAATGTATTTTGTACGTTAAAGTAATCGTCTCGAGATCATTACGAGGAAAAACAAAGCACTGTATGTGCCGCTAAATAGTGATAATTGTCTCATTAGTCGTAAAAAAAACACAATGATTATTATGGGTGAGATTAATCCTTTGTTCTACTGTTGTTATTTAGCAAGAATTAGGTCATATATGAAAAACAGTTTAAAGTGATATCAATGATGATATTTTATAGTTTATGTAGTTATTACGGAATATATCGTCTCTAAGGCATATGTTAGTTTGAATTTTAATATAATAATGACATATCTAGAAAAATTCAATGTTATTTTTTATATTTTTCCTCATTCTGGGATTTACACTTGGTAACACTTTAGTTAATGCTTGACATGTGTTTCAAACTTTATCTTGTTAGGCGCTAGAAAGTTGTGTGTTTCTTTTGGGAACATCTCAGTCTGTCTACTTCTCATTAAGTTTGGTTTGGTTTGTTTTAGGTTAGGTTAGGTTAGGTTAGGTTAGGTTAGGTTAGGTTAGGTTAGGTTAGGTTAGATCATCGTTAACTGACAGTACACATAATGGGAACTAGACAAAATAGTGGGTATAAACCATTATATTTTCTTAAAGACGATATTGACGAGAAGCCTTAGATAGTGTGGGCTTTTGGGTCACGTTCCTGGTAACACTTGACTCACGGTTCGGCGAATGTAAATAAACAGCCATTTTAGCGGAAATAGAACAAAGTTTGAGGTGACCTACTTGTTGAACCACTCAGTTACCTGTAGGCTGGCTGGCAGCTTCAGTAAACCGTCAACGGTGATAAGTGAGAGTGAGGATTTTGTCTAACTAAACGATTTTAATTCTTTATGAAACTCGATGATAAAGAACCATAAATAAATAAAAAAAGATCAATAGTGAGAAACGATATATGTATGTTGTGTTGTCAAAGTAAGAGAAATAATTAAGACCCTGCAATTGTGTGTAAATGAAGCAGAAAGTCAGATCATCAACCTGGGACTTGGTCACATATGGCAGCAGGGTCTACCATTAGACAACACAGTGTAGCGCAATGTCTTCCCCGGGCGGTACTACCTCCTGTTTGGTGCATACATACATGCATGGGCAACAAACTAAATTGGAAACCACACGTCAGTGAAGTTGTCAAAATCCTCCAGTTTCCGTCTCCACCTCCTCCGCCAACTCAGGTCCCTCAGGTTCCTGCACCCGAGCTCCTCAGTGTTACTCAGCATTCATACTTCCCAAGCTCACCTATGCCTCCCCTACCTGGTCTTCCTCCCTAAATGCCACACAACATAAACACCTAGAAAAGTGCAAAAGAGGGCATGCAAGATTATTCTCTCCCCTTCCAACTCCACATATCAAGAAGCGCTGAACACACTGACCCTCTCGGCTCTCACTGACCATCACCACGGCCTCATCTGCAAATTTGGTAAGAAGCTTCTCACCATCCCCGACACCGGCCCCTACCCACCTGAGATCCTGTCCGAGTTGCTGTTCGACACCACAACCGCATCCAGCCCATACGTGCACGAACAGTCGCTATAAAACAGCCAGTCCCAACCATTGTAAATTATCAATAACATGTAATAAATCAGTGTATTCACTCCCAGTAAACACTGCTCCCTACACTGTCACTATGTTGAAATGAACTGTAGTTGGGCTGATCCCCATCTAGGTTACTATATGTCTTATTTGTGTCACTTATGTCACTTATATTATTTGTAATTCATACCCATTCCAAATATGTAACTGTATATTTTCAGCCTTCCAGCTGAAGCTCTTTCAATAAACCGTTAATTGTTATTATTATTATTATTATTATTATTATTATTATGACATGTAAGACTTTTCAGTTCTGTTTAGTGTCTTATTGGTTCAGAGAAACTCACGCTCGACCGCCACGCTCGCCACAACGCTCAGCCACAACGCTCACGCTCGGCCACAACGCTCACGCTCGGCCCACAACGCTCACGCTCGGCCGCAACGCTCGTCAGCCCGCAACGCTCACGCCTGGCAACTCACGCCGGGCACAACGCTCACGCGGCCGCGCTCACTCAGCCTGTACTCGCTCGGCCGCAACGCTCACGTCCGGCCACAACGCTCTACCAGCCACAACGCGCTCACGCTGGCCCTACGCTCACGCTCAGCCACAACGCTCGCTTCGGCCGCAACGCTCACGTCCGCGCAACGCTCACGCGCCAGCCACAACGCTCGCTCAGCCCACAACGCTCACGTCCGGCCTAGCTCACCCAGCCACAACGCTCACGCTCGACTGCTCTCACGCTCAGCCTGGCGCTCACGCTCGGCGCAGCTCACGTCCGGCCGCAACGCTCCGCGGCCACAACGCGCTCACGCGGGCACAACGCCACACCGGCCACAACGCTCACGCTCGGCCACAACGCTCACGCTCGGGCAGCTCCGTCCGGCACAACGCTCCGCCCGGCCACAACGCTCGCCCGACAGCGCCCACGCCCGACAACGCTCGCCCAGCCACAACGTCCGCGCTCAGCCACAACCTCACGCCCGGGCACAACGCTCACGCCCGGCCTACAACCACACGCCGGACTTCTCACGCCCGGCCACGCTCACGCCCGGCCCAACGCTCACGCCCGGCACAACGCTCACGCCCGGCCACAACGCTCACGCTCGGCCCATACTCACGCCCGGGCACAACGCTCGCCCGGCCACAACGCTCACGCCCCGGCCACAACGCTCACGCCCAGGCACAACGCTCCCCGCCAGCCCAAGCCTCCACGCCCGGCCCAAGCTCACGCTCGCCCACAACCTCCACCCTGAACTGCTCGCCCGCCAGCACAACGCTCACGCCAGGTACAACGCTCACGCCCGGGCACAACCTTCGTGGAGGTGGTGGAGGATGGGAGGTAGAGCCATGTGACTTCCTCTCCTCTTTATAAGATGTTGAACACACACACACACACACACACACACACACACACACACACACTGCTGCCACCCACCAAAACAGTCCAGTATAACGTCTTCATTAGCCCAGGTAGCCTCGGCCAGGTACAGGTAAGTCACCACCACACTGGTTCATTATCCTCCTTAAGGACCAAATATCCTCTCCTGCCTCGGTGATGGTGTCTCCAGCCCCTCCGACCATAAAGAACTCATTAGCGGTGGTTAGTGGTGCGTTACCCCCACCTTCACTACCCTCACCAGGACCACCCTTATGTCCCTGGTGCCGTAAGGGTTAATGTTGTCAAGGAGGTATGGTGGTAGTGGGTTACGCCTCCTGTGTTTATATGCCTATACAGGGAACATGACTGAGATCACCCTCCCTTCCCTCCCTTCTCTTCCCTACCCCTCCCTTCTCCCCGGTCTCCCTTCCCCCCTTCCTACCCTCTTCCCTTCACTCCCTAACCTCCCCTTCCAGCCATCACGTTTCCTAGGCTGGTTGTCACGTCGACCAAGACCTTTCGTTCTGATTTGTTCACAAGACTAAATTGTTGTCTTTCTCTGGTCATATATACAGGCTATGACCACCAACACGTCCTCACTACCACCCAGCTCTTGGCCTTAATCCTCGAGAAGAAGTGAAGTAGGTTAAGCTATACTGAGAAACTTTACTGGAATATAAGACAAACTTTTATATTTCTTGTGTATAAAAATATATTCCATGAGAGCTTTTGGCATTTGGGAATTGCTGTTGGTTATAATGTGATAATGTCGTTAAAGCTCAGTAATAGGTATACTCTATACTTCCCTACCCTATCCTACCCTACCCTACCCTACCTACGCTACCTACCCAGCCCTACACTTACCCCTACCTACCCTATCCTACCCCTACCTATCCTACCTACCCTACCCTACCCTACACTCCTACCCTTCCTTACCCTACCCCACTCACCTACCCTACCCTACCATGCCTTACCCTACCCCTACCCTATCCCTACCTACCCCTACCCTACCCTACCCCACACTTACCCCTACCCCTACCCCTTACCCCTGTCCAACCTACCCCTACCCTACCCTGCCCTACCCTGCGCTGCCCTGCCTCCACCTTACCCTGCCCTACCCCACCCTGCCTACCCTGCACCCCACCATTCCCACCCCTCCCCTGCCCTCCCTATCTAACCTCCTGCCTTGCCCTCCCTACCCTGCCTACGCCTGCCCTACCTACCATCTACCCTACCCTGCCTACCCTACCCTACCCTGCCCCCCTCACCATCCTACCCTGCCTACTATCTACCTGCCTCACCCCACCCCTACCCACACACCCTATCCAACCCCACCCTCACACCCCTGCCTCCCCAGCCCCTACCCCACCCTATCCTCCCTACCCCACCCCCTACCACTACCCTACCCCTACCTTACCCCTCCTCACACCCTCCTCACTTACCTAACCTACCTCTTACCTGCCCACCCTACCCTACCCACCCTGCCTACCCCTCTACCCTACCCTACTCTACCCTACCCTACCCTACCCCACACCCTATACCCTCACCCTACTACCCTACCTACCTATCTACCCTACCCTACCCTACCCTATCCCCTACCTACCCTCCTACTACCTACCCTACCTACCCTTGATATACACAGGTCACGTTCAAGGCTCCCAGAACCTAACATTAATAAAAAGGAAAAACGATATAGACGGACCTTCAGGTGACGTCTTGCCCTTGATAACGGGTGAGACGACAGGTAAGACGACAGGTGAGACGACAGGTAAGACGACAGGTGAGACGACAGGTAAGACGAGACAGGTAAGACGACAGGTAAGACGACAGGTGAGACGACAGGTAAGACGACAGGTGAGACGACAGGTAAGACGACAGGTAAGACGACAGGTGAGATGACAGGTGAGACGACAGGTAAGACGACAGGTGAGACGACAGGTAAGACTAAGAGACAGGAGAGACGACAGGTAAGACGACAGGTGAGACGACAGGTAGAGACGACAGGTAAGACGACAGGAGACGACAGGTAAGACGACAGGTAGACGACAGGTGAGACGACAGGTAAGACGACAGGTGAGACGACAGGTAAGACGACAGGTGAGACGACAGGGTGAGACGACAGGTGAGACGGACAGGTAAGACGACAGGTGAGACGACAGGTAAGACGACAGGTAAGACGACAGGTAAGACGACAGGTAAGACGACAGGTGAGACGACAGGTGAGACGACAGGTAAGACGACAGGTAAGACGACAGGTGAGACGACAGGTGAGACGACAGGTAAGACGACAGGTGAGACGACAGGTAAGACGACAGGTGAGACGACAGGTGAGACGACAGGTGAGACGACAGGTAAGACGACAGGTGAGACGACAGGTAAGACGACAGGTAAGACGAGACAGGTGAGGACGACAGGTGACGACAGGTAAGACGACAGGTGAGACGACAGGTGAGACGACAGGTAAGACGACAGGTAAGACGACAGGTGAGACGACAGGTAAGACGACAGGTGAGACGACAGGTAAGACGACAGGTAAGACGACAGGTGAGACGACAGGTAAGACGACAGGTAAGACGACAGGTAAGACGACAGGTGAGACGACAGGTAAGACGACAGGTGAGACGACAGGTAAGACGACAGGTAAGACGAGACAGGTGAGACGACAGGAGACGATAGTAAGACGACAGGTAGACGACAGGTAAGACGATAGGGTGAAGACGACAGGTGAGACGACAGGTAAGACGACAGGTGAGACGACGGTGAGACGACAGGTAAGACGAGACAGGTGAGACGACAGGTGAGCGACAGGTAAGACGATAGGTGAGACGACAGGTGAGACGACAGGTAAGACGAAGGTGGAAAAAGACGACAGGTAAGACGACAGGTAAGACGACAGGTAAGACGACAGGTAGAGACGACAGGTAAGACGACAGGTGAAGACGACAGGTGAGACGACAGAGACGACAGGAAGAGACGACAGGTGAGACGACGACAGGTGAGACGACAGGTGAGACGACAGGTAAGACGACAGGTAAGACGACAGGTAAGACGACAGGTGAGACGACAGGTAAGACGAAGACAGGTGAGACGACAGGTAAGACGACAGGTAAGACGACAGAGGAGACGACAGGTGAGCACAGGTGAGACGAGATAAGACGACAGGTAAGACGACAGGTAAGACGACAGGTAAGACGACAGGTAAGACGACAGGTAAGACGACAGGTAAGACGACAGTGAGACGACAGGACAGGTAAGACGACAGGTAAGACGACAGGTAAGACGACAGGTAAGACGACAGGTGAGACGACAGGTAAGACGACAGGTAGAGACGACAGGTAAGACGACAGGTAAGACGACAGGTAAGACGACAGGTAAGACGACAGGTAAGACGACAGGTAAGACGACAGGTGAGACGACAGGTAAGACGACAGGTGAGGACGACAGGTAAGACGACAGGTAAGACGACAGGTAAGACGACAGGTGAGACGACAGGTAAGACGACAGGAGACGACAGGTAAGACGACAGGTGAACGACAGGTAAGACGACAGGTAAGACGACAGGTGAGACGACGGTGAGACGACAGGTAAGACGACAGGTGAGGACGACAGGTAAGAGACAGGTGAGACGACGGTGAGGACGACAGGTAAGACGACAGGTAAGACGAGACAGGTAAGACGACAGGGAAAGAGACAGATAAGACGACAGGTAAGACGACAGGTGAGACGACAGGTAGATGCTCGTTCCTGTGAGACAATTAAACAGAGAGTGGAAGGTAAGATTAAGAAGTATTGATAAATCCACATCCACAGAATCCTCGTGTCTATCTGTCTGTCCGTCTGTCTGTCTATATGTATGCGTGTATGTATGTATGTATGTATGTATGTATGTATGTATGTATGATGTATGTATGATGGAAATATATGTGTGTGTGTGTGTGTAATATAAATATATAACATCAAAACGTACCCAACCTGCCACAGGCATTGAATATTCCACAAAATATCAGTAAAAAAAAAAAAAAAACACATACAGAAAATTTTAGACACCAATAAAAACATCAAATTCTTTTCAATGGAATAAAAAATCTTCCAGTATTTATTTTTATCACTAATACTTCACTAATTAATATCTTTATCAATTAATCTCTCTATATATAACAACAGTGAGAATAACAACAAATAAAATTACCTACAATAATCATAGGAAGGATAATAATGTAGTAATGATAAGAATAAGAAGAAGAAGAAGAAGAAGAAGAAGAACTACTACAAAATATACACTAACCATAATTTCAGACAGACAGACAGACAGAGACCTAATATAACACTAAAAACTCACTGAAAATACACAAAACCTTAATATATGATAAACAGCGAACCATATTAGCGATACACTGAGGCTCAACCAACGTGTGACTCACCTTGGTAATGAGAACAACAAGAAGTGGTTAGAACAGGTGAACAGGGTAGTGTGTGGAGAGAGAGGAGAGGAGAGGACTATGGCAATTTACCCAGAGTAGATACACAGTGACAGGTGGTCTCTCTCTCTCTCTCTCTCTGTTCATTAAGAAGAGGAAATGAACAGTAGGAGGGAGGGAGGTAGTGGTCTCGAGTGAGCAGAGGGTGAGGGTGAAGGTCTCGTCTCGTTCATTCGGTGTTAAAGGTCTCTAATGCGAGGACACTAGTTTAGGGAATACTTTAAACAAACACTAGCGAGGACAGAGACATTTTGCACCCTAGCGAGGATTTATTACACCCTAGCGAGGACATCTTACACCCTAGCGAGGATAACTTACACCCTAACGAGGACATATTACACCCTAGCGAGACATATACACCCTAGCGAGATAATTTACCCCCAACGAGGACATCTTACACCTTAACGAGAACGTAGTTTATAACACCCTA